TCCTATTGAATCATGTTCACTGAGGAGTCGACATTCATCAGGAGTGCTTGAATATAATTGACATTTATCTTAAGTGATTGTTCCAATCCGAAGAATATCAGTGCAGTTTTTAGTGCTACTAAACAAAAGAGACCCCGATGTTCATTTTAAACCACTATAGTAATATAGCTACAGTATACCGTAAAGAAATAGTTTGACATTTTGGGAAATGTGTTTATTTGTGGTCTTAGATGATAAGATTACTACCACTCTCATGTCTATGTGGTAAAATATGAAGCTGGAGCCAGTAGCTGGTTGGCTCAGCATAAAGACTGGAAACACTGGAGTCTTTGTGACCGACAGAGACCGGCCAAGAAGTAGTCCTGTAAAACCTATAATGAGTAGTGTTTAGACTTTTCTGTGGGATAAACAACACACATACAACGTGTTAATTGGTGAGCTTCAGAGGTGCTGCCGGGGTCAGAGCCAGACTCTCTGTTTACCCCTGTTACAGCTTCATATTTACCACACCGCCATCAGAGTGGTAACTATCTAACTCTCTGAGGGACGTAGGTCAACTATTTCTTTACGGTATTGCAATTATCTTGTACCTGTAGCCCTTAACACCAGTGGCAGAGCTCTTAGTGTAATTTTGCGGTGTTTTTCAGTGTCTGTTGGATGTGTACCATGGTCTCCTAATTTTGGGAACCGAGCACTTGCTGGTCAGCCAAGGAAGAATTCGACCCAGCCAAGGCTGCTACACAAAGTCTCAGGAAAACATTCAGGACACATCCACCAATATATTGGTCTCCTAAAAACAATTTAAAAAAATCTTATGTCTTAGTTAGCTTTTACGTAATTGTTCAGGGTCACTGAAATACCCTTCAACGTTATATTAGTACCTGTGCAGCTACATTAAGAGCTCGCCATGAGTTCAGATCTCACAGCATCTGGATAGGAACAGGATGAGCAGAGCAATATCATACAGATGCAGTAGGTCAGGACTTCCATAATGTGACTCATTACAGCACTTTGTAACACAGAATATATATCAACCACTGTTTAACTACAGCTGATATTCCTTAAAAGACTTTGGGTCATGAATCCCAGATTATGTCCGATTATCAACAGGGCAATTTCAGGTTCTTCCAAGACTATTGCGTTAATCATTCAGGCCTCAGCACTTCTATAATACAATTGTTTTTATTCTTTATTCTGCTCCAAGACAAACAGAAGGTACTCGGTCCAGAGTTCATTCCCAAAGCACTATTTATCTATTTACCTGAAGTCCAGTTTCTCTACGGTGTGGAGCGTCCTGTTTTATTGAAATGTTTTATTTATCAACCAGGGACTGGAGTGACCTCTTGTGTTTTAGAAAGTACAATAAATTATTAACTATGAAGAGTATATGTTTCTCCAAAATGGTGAATATCTGATTTTAGAGTCGAACTTCTGTCTCAGTGCTCGTCCCACAGTTGTGGAACTTTGATGTTGAGAAAAACTTGATTTCTTTCTTTTCTTTTCTGTTTTTTTTTTTTTTTTGGTCATTGATGTCTTGGTTTTTATTATCAACATCGGAGTACAGCCCACTTGCTAATGTAGCCCACAATGTTTCCCCAGTGCCTGTCCTTAACTGTGAACTACTAAATGGTCCGGAGCCACGTAGAGAATGAGTTCTGTCCTTTCATGGGAGTTTTTAGGAGTGCCAGTTTAACATTTTTTTTATTTTTTTTATTGGAAAATAAGAGCAAAGCCTTAAATTGGTATCTAAACCCGCTGAAAGCTCTCCAAATATCTGCGGCGTGAGTTGGGATGAGTCAAAACTTTGTGGCTCAGTGGGACAATGTCCCTAAAAGCAGGGTTTTGTTTTTTTGTGATTAGTCTCACCGCCAGTCTGGAAATTCTCTGAAAATTAAACATGAACTCTCTTCAGGACTTCCTTTCAGAGGCAGAACTCTTCACTTCGTGGCTTTGGGGAGAGCGAGGTGATAATTGAGCACTTGATGCCAGTTGCAAGGCGCTCTGCAGCTCTTTTTTGATGCTTTTGAGTTTCAGACGTTACAAAAACAACTGACAGGAACTTATATATTTTTTGTACAAATGTGACAAAATTATGGTTGAAAACAAAACGAGTCTTTAGGGGCTAGTGTTGTTTTCACAGAGTTTATTTATCTCAAGGTTTTGGTCTGTTTTTTGGTTTTTTTTCTATTTTGTTTCTGTGATTTTTAACTGTCAGCACTGTAGTGTACATAAGAAGTTTTGTAAAGAAGAAAAAACTTGTAGTGTGGTTTCTACTTTAAATATGAACCTAGCTAATAAAAGGTTCAGTGTATGGAAAATGTTCGGCTAAGAATTGATTATTTTTTTGGTGGTTTAAAAACTTGCATGAGAAGATTGTTCATATGTATTCTCAGAATCTGGAGTGGAAACCTAGTCAGCTGTGTGAGGTTTAAAGCTTGGCGGACCTGAGGGGATCTTATCGAGGTAATTCTCGGTGGCTTCGTGTCTACAAAGAACTCCTTTCACATACCAGTAGTCATGTGATCTGTTGTCAGTGTAAAATATTGATTATAGCTGCTTTAAGGTGTGAGATTGTGCCATTTTAATACTACAAGTTGGGCGTGGCTTAAACCAGGGAGTGGGCGGGGCTAACTGGAAATTATTAATTTAAGCTGATACAGGTTGATCAGAAATGGCTATATCTTTTTAAAAACTTAACAGAATTTAATTAAAAGTTGGTATATTTACGAGTACGGATATATATACACATTTTACTCGTTTGATACTCAACCCTACCTAACTAGCACCTTTAAAAACTGTATCTCCATGTTTGGACGTGTGGTTGGTTAAAGACCAAACTTTACCGCCACCTTTGTCTAATGTATACCTGCCTTTGTTTTGTGTTTCTGTTATACAAGCCACCCACTCATTGCGGTCAGCAGCAATGAGCTCAGCACTTTTACCGGGGTGAGATTTGAGGAGACAACTCATACACACCACAATGCAGTAGCCCCATAATTCAGGGCTGGTGTGTGTCAGGTCAAATACAACTCAAAACGGCCCTTTTTTTTCTCCTCTCTTTCCATCCTTTGGTGCACTCTCGCACACAGCAGGCATGCCAGAGGAGCTCAGCTGACCTTTACAGTGAGTGGGAGTGAGGCAGGAAGTTGGAGCAGAGACAAAGAGCGGATTTTGGAGGGAATACTCGGAAAAAAACCCTCATTGAACCATGTGAGTGCGGCGTTCACACAGACTGCATTGAGCGTACACTGCTCAGTCGCTGAGGTCAAAGCTACCTCGGTCCAACACCACTCACCATAAGTTATTATGTGAAATGAATGTGGTTTTACTACTTTGCAAGATGATTACTGTTCCTTCTCATATTACCAGTGGTGGAAGAAGAATTCACTTAAGCAAAAGTACCAATAGAATAATGTGAAAATACTCTATTGAAGGGAAAAGTCCTTCATACTGAAATATTATCAACAACATGTAAAGTAGGAAAACTAAAAGTACTTGCACAAGATGTCCTCTGTGACTGACATCATATATCACAGTATTTACATTGTTAATACTGATGCATCAGTGCGTACGTTAAGTAGCATTTTGGAACTCGTTTTACTACTTTATATATAGTAAGATTGTTTAATCCATGGGTTCCCAACATTAGGGTCAGGTCCCCTCCAAAGGGACAAAAGATGCATGTGAGGGAATGTGAAGTTCTGTTACGCAAGTTTGTATTAATTTTTCTTTCACTTTTCTCTAATCTTTGCTCTTTTTGTGAATTATTGGAGAATTTTATCTTTTTCATAGACATTTGAAACACAACAAGCGGCTCCAACTCACAAATCCTTTGCAATGCATTGTGTTTTATAAGCGTATAATGTGTTTTTAATGTAACATATTCATCTACAAACCCTACAGTAACTGTCAGATAAATGTACAAGTACTTTAAGATTTTGCTTGAGTAAATAGTTATCTACACCAGTGCATTTAACTACATTTTGTGGGATGAGAGCAGGCTGATGTAAGTTTTCAACAATAGCAGCTAGAATAGCATACGTGCAGTGATTACAAGCTCCACCAGCCATAGCACATTAAGCACACTATGGTTATGTTCACACTGCGGGCAAAGGTGGCCCAAATCTGGTTTGTTGGCTCATATGTGACTCAGATCAGATTTATTTTCTTCATGGCAGTATAAACAGCACAAATCACACAGAATTTGATCTTTCACATGTGCTCCAAATCAGATACAGGTGCCACCTCAGTGTGAATTCATGTGACTTTCTACGTCACTCTAGATCTACTTTCGTCATGCGGGGTCACTTCAGGACTGTTTACGTTTGAATCTGATATGGGCCACGTTTAAAAAAAACAGTGCTGAAGCTTGCAGTATAAACACACACTGCAAGCTTCAGCTCATACAGTATTACTCATCTGTCTTTCTGATGATGGACAGAGTTAAAGGTGTGGCGTCTGATTCGAGCTGTTTCCACTTTGGAAACTGGCTTCGGGCTGCACGAAGCCCTCTGGAAATGTGTCCCGTATTGTGCGTTTGTAAATAATTTCCATCCATACTTTCAGTTCCTCTAGTGAGGACAGTGTCAAGACAACTGGAGCTCTGTGGACATACAGACTGCCAACTGGAAACATTGATCTCATCCAGTTAAATATATGAACATATGATACTACAATATTTTAAGACTAATGTAGACAGAAAAGACAAAGACTTCAGTGTCTGTTAGAGGAGCTGAAGTGTCCCTAGAAGGGCAGAGTACACACACACAGACACACACAGACACACACACACACAGCCGTTGGCTCTGTTGTTGCTTCACAGTTCATATCAGGTCACGTCCCAGCAGGATTTTTCCCCTAACCACAATTCTTTGTTTCTCATAGTCTGTAACTAATGTGACCCTTCTGAGCATGGAAGCACTCGAATATGAAGTGGTTTTATCACCACTTCTAGAACTATTTCAGTATCATCGTGACTATTTGAGACAAACACCGACAGGTTAAAGTATGGAAACCATTTATTTATTTTTACAAGACATGCATTAATTATCAAATACTTTCAATCTCAAAACAGCCATTCCTTTTCATTTTCAACATAGTGCAAAACAATGCAAAGAATGTATTTGAAATGCTAATCGACAAATCGAATGGCACAAAACAAATGTCAGTCAGTGTCAGCTGTACCGTAAATTTGGAATATGACGCAATTAACACTAAAAACTGCTGGTAGAAAGCACTCAAAGTTTACACCCTAAACTTAATTTAGATTCACTTTGGTCACCAAGTATGATACATGTCAAGGGTTTTGTTTCCCCCCCCCCCAAGTGACCTTGGACCTTTGTACCTAATAACAGCTTGTTCATTTTCGTGGGGCACATGATGATTTACATGGTACAAAAGAGACCTTGTAAAGAGCGGGAGGGGCGGTGGCCTGTGTAAAAAAAATAAACATCACAAGACATTCCAAGATGCTTTTACGTCCCGAGCAATTTCTCAAATTCTTTTAAGTTATCGACTCCTTACGCGCTTGCAGCCAATACCGAGCTGTTGTCACGAACACCTTCTGAAGTTAATTCATAACTTGTGAAATAATATTTGGCCAGATACTCTCCACAGCTCAGGAATGAAAAGGAAAAAAAAGTGCCTCAAAATATCTAAAGCATATGTAGAAAAACAACAACACACTCCATGATTCTGGTACCAAGAGTGGTGGTTAATCAGTTACGCAGCTTAAATAAAGGAAGTGGAGTCAAAACTCACTAAATACCATTCAGCTCCCCAAGTTCATTTACAAGAGCAGCTGCGCTAGCTTATACGCAGTGAAAATAAACAATACTGAGCAAAAGCAAACATTAGAGGACGTTAATGTTTCTTCCAGTGTAGGCTTCACAGTAGATTCATATATACACACAGTTGATCCCCTTATGGCATTTTTTTTTGTCTTTGTAAAGAAGAGCAATCTTAGAGCTATTTTGATCGTTTTAAACGAATGGATAGCGACTGAATCAATAGCAGCTCTTCAGTTGCACAGACAGCAGAGTCCCTGCCTTGTCGAAGCCCTTGCAGCATACTCCACTGACGTCTGAGCACACTATTTTATTTATTTTTACACACACTCTTATTCTTAAGATGAACACCACCGTCTGAGAGAATGATTTGATTCCTGCTTGAGCCTCAGCCATCTCTGGAAACAAAATCAGGCCAAAACTAAAAGCTCCAACTTCACAAAGTCACGGTCAACCAAACACAAAACTATTCTCAACATGTACTAATGATTCATGTTGAGGTTTGAACCACACGTTTGAATCCCTCTCAGGCCTCTCTCCTCTCCGGAAAGATATTCAGCCCCAGCTCCACCAGCGCCCCCAGTAACATGGTCCACAGTGGTATGCACACAAACGTCAGCTTCACGTCCGCCAGCTTCTCCAGCTTGGCGCACAGCGTCAGGCAGAAGCCCAGCTTGAGCAGCATGGCCGTCAGGTACCAGGCGCGCAGACGCAGGTCCGGGGAGCCGTTGCGAGGGTCGTAGCCAGGCTTGCACCGGCCTGCCATCTTGATGGCAAGCATGAGGATGAGGATGCCGTCAAACACCCAGACGGGGAGGAAGATGAGGAACCAGTTCCACTGCACCTGGAGGGGAGAGGGGGACAAGATTATATGAGTTATATAACTGAGGCTTTTATTTCTATTGAAGATTAAAATCATGATGATGTGACATTTTTGGGGGGCCTGTACCAAACAAGCATGTTTTCTTCAATCTGGAGAACAAGGCTTATAGGTCAGGGCATCTCTGCAGCACAACAGTAGTAACATTATGGAGCTATATTGTCAGAAACACTCAGAATAAAGGCTGAAGAAACACTTCAATCTCAATGCACAGGAGACAAGAAAACATAAAGCCCTTTACCTTCCCGTCCAGTTTGAGTACTAGCATGATGAGGAAGACCAGGGTGAAGACCCAGGTCAACAAAACCCTCTGAGCCAGAGACATCTCACTGACTGTGGACACAGATCAGAGGAGGACAGACGCTGCACAGAAGAAAACAAGACACAATCAGACATTTATAGCTAATTATTAGGACTGTGTGGGGGTTTTGGAATATTTTGGCAGTAAATCAGACACATAAGAAGAGACAGCAACGTTTAAATAACAGCTAAAGGCTTTTAAAAACGTGGTATCGTCGCCGACACAAGCTGGAAACATCATCTCGTTTTCATTCATCGTTAGTTAGCTCATGTTGCCATGACAGCTAGCTTTTTCACCGCGCAGCTAACGGGTTGCCAATTCATTTAAAACACAGTCCGACTTACTTCACTGTGTCTCTAGACCGGTGGCCGACATGTTGCTCTCCCCTTATGGCGTACACACTCACACACACACCGTGCAGCTTTCATAATCCACACATTGTCAACAGACGGTGTCCGTTAGCAGCGACAGACGGAGTCCGTTATCTCTGGTTGGCCCCGCCCCCCTGCCGGACGCCGATTGGTCCTCGCGTTGCTGCGTCACCTTTCCTCAACGTCCGTCATTCCGTCCGTCTAACCGTAAAGTTGTTGCAAACGCGCAAACTCGTTGTAGTGAGTTTTACCGTCCACTAGGGGTAAGTAAAGTTCTTTCCTTTACCCCCGGCGGTTGCGTTTGTATGTTTATTTACCGCGCAGCTGCACAAAACCGCGACATTACGCTGTTTTATTTATTAGTCTTTGTGCTAATTCGTTAATCGGAGCGACGTGTGAGCGCGCTCTCCTTCTTCCATTTGGCGCCAGCAACCGCCGTCAACGTTTATTGGCTCAGAAACGTAAGTTGCGCGTTTGATCGAAGCTTTACGGGCTGGAGTTGTATTTTTACAGCGAGGGGCAGAAAAGGAAAAGCGACGGGCTTCAAACGCCGCCGAGCAGACACACACACAGCATCTCCTCCAGACGCGGGCTCGGCTCCGTGCAGCATAAAAAAAAATCACGCTTCTTGAAAGCAAAAGGTTTTGAGTCAACGTAAGTGCGTGGGGGGGGGACCCGGACTCGGACTCGGACTCGGAGCAGCCGTCGCTGTCAAGGAGGTAAGACCGAGCGGATGCATGCATGTTTGGACAGCAGCTATCAGGTTTTAGTATTAGGGTCAGCTGTGTGGGCTCTTTGTGCCTGCCGGGTAGCTCAGCTAACCGTGTAGCATGATATGAGCTAGGAGGAGGAGGAGGAGGGAGGAGGAGGAGGAGGAGGAGGACAGGCTGTGTGGAGTGTCTGAAAACACACCGTGGTTTGCATCTACATGGAGGCTAGCTGCGAGATTAGCTGTGTTTTACCAGCACTGATCGTGTCCTTTTACGGAGTGAAAACACGCACTGTAACGTGAAGTAAACGCATAGTTATATAGGATTGTAACGTTATTGATGGACCTAAAAAAACCTGTGTTTTACCCTGAACCAGCGTCCTACTTCATTACTTCATTTGACTGCTTTTTACTTGTTTTATTTAACACTTTAACCCTCCTTCAAAGCATTATTACCATTGTAGGACCCCCACAGCTTTGTATATATAATGGATGTGGGCCAACTCATCTAAAATTATATTAAAAAAATAATAATTACTACAATTAAAACAACAATCTTCATGTAAAAGAGGCAGTGTTGAATTTTGTTTAGCAGTAACTCAGTTGAAACAAGCACCTTGGTGTTAAACATTTCTTCTAGGTAATCATCTGAAGTGAAGATGTCTTTTTTTAGTCTTCCCACAGACCTGTCAGGATCCAGGTGGCTTACCACTGCTTTAAAACCATTTCCTGAGGGGGGGAACCTGAGTTATCGATTCATCTGGCAGCCGGTTATTCGTTTCATGTGTTTAATGTCAGGAAATGTGAAAAAAAAGGCCCTCACAAATTCACAGAGCCGAAGGTGGCGTCCTTTTAAATTGCTTGTTTTGTGTAACCACACTCCAAACTCCCAAGTTTAGAGTCATGTGACTAAAAAAAACAGTAAATTATGTCATTTTGGAGGCTGGAAGCAGTTAAATTCAGGTATTTTTGTAATAAAGTCACATTTTTATTGAAGTAGTTGGTGGTTCATCATACATCAATACACTAACTGACTCCTACTGTAATCTGTACACTCCTCTCCACCAATTTACATTAATCTCTCGTCCTCATTTGTATTTTATTCTCTAACCAGTGTTGGTTTTCTATCTTGTGTCACTGGAGTAGAAACTGTGGCAGGCGCTCAGGCTCACAGCTTGGCAGGCCGTCTGATTATCCAACATGGTTTTGCGATCCAGACGGCCTGTCGGTTCCAGTGTCTGACTAACGCTGTCATCACCCACCCAGACTTTCCACTGCAGTCATAATGTGACCCCCTTTAATTAACCTTACGAGTCCTGTACGAATCCATAACGTCAACCTACAGCCAGGACAGTCGTATAAACCCCCAGTTGTTCTGTTTACCCGCAGTTTGGACATGAAATATGGATTTATTGTACGTCAGAATATCAGTGAAGGCTAAAAAAAGTGGACTATAAAGACTATGAGCAGTAAATATTGTTATAAAACAACTATGACAGGTATAAACCACCCACCGCAGTATCGTCTGCTGCTGTTAGACACGACTGTTCGGACTGCAGCCAATAACTTACCGTGTTTGTTTCACCTGCAGGCAGTCAGGTATGCAGGGACGACATGTAGGCAGCGTTTTTTTTTTTAATACTTCAGGAAGCACTTGTGTAAATCAAACGCGTGGGATATCAGTGACAATGATGGAAACCTCTGATTTGATTTAGGCAAATGTCTTTGTGAACGTTTTCCTTCTCAGACAGTTTGATTTAAACTCTTCAGTTTAACCCGATTGTGACAAAAAATGTTGTCCAGTGAGATCAGAGAGGGGTTTCAGTAAAGTACAAGGAGCCTGTGAGCGAGGCACCTTTTATCCAATTAAAGAGTAAAGTAAAGAAACGACAGAAAGCTGCGGTTGAAAGAGCAAAAGTTTGCAGACAGGTATTGTGTTTAGTGTATGAGTGAGGATCAATCACTGCTGCTGCGTTCACCCCGCTGGCGAAGGGCAACACCCGGGGGGCTTCTGACACACACACACACACACGCAACAACCCCAAATAATTAACTGCCACATCAACCTGGTCAGATAGAGTAGGGGAATAGATAGCAGCTGGCGAGTCATTAATCACAGACCATAGATTCTATCGAATATGAACGACGACGTACATGTTGGGCATAGTACGATATAAGTATGAATCAGTCACATGATGCATTTTCTATATTTGTGCGCGCGATTACTACTAAGCCGCTGACAGGAATGACTTAGACATAGAGTAGTGATCGCTGATCAGTATAGCTAAGTGAAGCTAGTTGATAGATAGTGATCTGATGTGATGTGCTATCCATGATACTCAACAACAGAAAAAATACTCGTATACTACCAATCACATATCATCAGCTTATCCATTTTTCCAATTACCATAAGAATGCATTATTAGTTGCTTATATTTGCGAAGCGAGATGGAGATTCCTCAAAGCAATAATAAGCTCCCCGACGGCCTCTGTGTGTTGTGCGGCTCCTTCTTCGCGGCAGCCGCTCGCGCTCTCTTCTCGCCCCTGTTTGTTACTTGTCGCCTCTTCGTACATCAACGCGTTCCCCACCCAGACTAGCCATATCTCCCTCCCCGTCGTTTCCCGCCGGCGCTTCATTACGCTCTCCCACCCCATAGTTCTCGCACCCACCATATAAAGTGATAATAAAAAATCCTTTAACATCGCACACCCAAAGTATGCGAGTGTGAGCTGAAAAGGTCACCAGGGAAAGGTCCAAGTGCGGGCCTGAACCGGTACTGCGGTGCGCTG